GTAGTAGTAGTAGTAGTAGTAGTAGTAGTAGTAGTAGTAGCAGTAGTAGTATAGTAGTAGTAGTAGTAGTAGTAGTAGTAGTAGTAGTAGTAGTAGTAGTAGTAGTAGTAGTAGAAGTAGTAGTAGTAGTAGTAGTAGTAGTAGTAGTAGTAGTAGTAGTAGTAGTAGTAGTAGTAGTAGTAGTAGTAGTAGTAGTAGAAGTAGTAGTAGTAGTAGTAGTAGTGTTCACATCTGGACTTTTTCCCGACGTGACCCCCGCGAAATTAAGGTGCCAACCCTTAAGGTACCAGCGGCACCTTCGAAAACCGACGCGCGAGACTTCTTCGCAAAAGCAACACCAAACTGGAATCTTTCCCGGCGCCGCGCCGGGAGAGAACCCAGTTTATCGGGAAAGAACCCAGTCCGCCGGGAAAGAGACGAGATTCCAGGCCTACCCCGCCACCCCGCGATTTCTAAGAGGGGAGTTGGGGTTCACTTCGTTCGGGACCTCCCGAGCGAAAGCGAAGTGAACCCCACCTCCCCCTTAGAAATCGTTCGGTGGTGGGGTAGGGTTTGCATGTGGCCTCCTACTGTGGGCGCCTCCAACGTGAAGGCCCCCCCCCAGGGCCCGAAGGCGCAGCGAGAACGCAGGGCGCCGCGGTGCCACGACTCCCGAGAGCGTCCGAGGTCGCGCGCGACCTGCGCCCTGATGCCCGCCGCACGCGCGCCGACCGCCAGCCTTCCGACGGCCTGGCGAAGGCTTCTGGCAAAGAAGCCTTCGACAACCGGCCGCCTCATCCTCCTCCCCCTTTCTTCTTGTCTCCTCTCTGCGCTGCAGCGCCGCCGCCTGGCGCGCGCCCGCCCGCGAAGGCGGCCGGGCGCGGCCACCAGAGGCTTCATTTCCTTCGGCCTGGGTCAGGGGCTGCGGCTCGCAGGCCTGAGGGGGTGTAGTCAGCGGCCGTCATCAGCTTGAGGTCTGGACCATACCCAGGGCCAGTTTTTCTGGGTCGTTTTTGGACGGTCCCGAGGCCTGGCGGTGGCCCCCGGAGGCCCAAAACGGCTCCCAAACCCGCCGCTCCAATTTTTGTGGGAGCGTCGGATCTCTGGGAGGCCTCCGACAGCCGCCGGAAGCCCCCGAGAGCCTCCGAGGACCGCCGAGAACCACCTCCGCGGGCAGGCGAACGCTGCCGAGAGCTACCCCGCGACAGCGCCGATCGAGAGAGAGCCTGCGAGAGAATCGCCGAGGGCCCTTCGCGGAGGGGTTGCCGGGGGAGCCACTGCCGCGAGCGCGCCGAGAGGGCCGCGGAAGGGCCGCCGAGGAACAGGCCGCCGGGGGTGCGCCCCGGAGGGCCGCCGCCCCACAGAGACCCCCTTCGGGTCGTGACAAGATCACCGCAGGAGGCTTTTCGTCATGGGGGGGCCGTGCGGCGCCGGTGCCGCCGACCCTGGACGACGGCGACGGCGACGGCGACGGCGACGGCGACGACGACGACGATGACGACGACGACGACACCGACGGCGGCGGCGGCGGCGAAGACGACGACGACGTCTGGGGGCCTTACCGGGCCGCGGGACCGTAACAAAAACGACTCGGGATGAGGAACAGGTCACGGGGGAGGGGTCGAGACTCCTGGGCACGAGCGGACGGCACGCACCCATTACTACAGGGAGGGTCGGAGGGGGCTACGGGTGCGTGTTGTCGGAGGGGGGAGTCCCCACTCGAACGGAAGCGCCCCCGGGGTCCGACAACCCGCACCCACACCCCTAGCCTTAAGCCGGGCATGTCCCTCTACAGGAGGAGTGTTCAAGAACAAAACAAAGATGGTTTGGTGACGATTCTTCGTGCCTTGTCGATTGATTTTGATTTCTGGCTTATTTGCCAATTCTTTTTCCCAAATCCGCCTATGGGAGGACATGCCCGACCTAACCCTAGCCAGTCCTCCTCCCAACGACCCTCCTATGGGTATGGGTGTGTGTTGTTCGTGCCACCTTGCTGCTGCTGGCCCCCGTCGCCGGCGCCCCCCCGCCGCCGCCTGGCCCCGCTCTGAGCGGGCCCGGCATCCTTCTCCCTCCCGCCCGCGCCGGGCTTTCCTCCTCTCTCCCCCGTGCATTGCGGCGGTAATTCGCACTCGTATGCCCTACCAATGCTCTTCCGCCAGTGCAGTCACTCCGCCTAGCCGCCGACGCAAAGTGTGTGTGTGTGTGTGTGTGTGTGTGTGTTGTTCGTTCGTCATCTGGGGGTCGACGTCATGACAAAACATCGTGACGGCGGGGGCCGTGGGGCTGGCACCCCTCGCCGGAGGCCACGCAGGACGTGGCGCCGGGATCCTCCGAGTCGTTCGCCATCGTCGTGAAAGCGCTCAAGGGCGCGAACATCACGCGGGGCAGGGGGTTGGGGGGGAGGGCCGGCTTCGGTAGCCAATCGTGGGAGCCTGGTATACCCTTGTAATTGTGTCTTTAGCGTCGATTAGCGTCTGGGAGTCGATGAGACAGCGCCGATTTGGCATCGATTAGCGTCGATTAGTGTCGAGTCAGCGTCGGTTAGCGTCGATTTAGCGTCGACACGCGTCGATTCGCGAGGGCCGACAAAACGGCATGGGAGGCTCCCGTGATTTGCCACCGAAGCTGGCGGCGCACACCCAGGGGGTGGGTGGGGGGGCGGGTCGGGCGGGGTCGGGCGTCGCCAGCTCGGGGGTGGGTCGGCTGTTCCTGGGCCCAGGAGGGGCCTGGCCGGCGGGAGGGGAATGATGATGATGATGATGATGATGATGATGATGATGATGATGATGATGATGATGATGATGATGATGATGATGATGATGATGATGATGATGATGATGATGATGATGATGTGATGATGATGATGATGATGATGGTGATGATGATGATGATGATGATGATGTGATGGTGATGATGATGATGATGGTGATGATGATGATGATGGTGATGGTGATGGTATGGTGATGGTGATGTGGGTGGTGGTGGTGATGGTGATGATGGTGATGGTGATGGATGATGATGATGATGATGATGATGATGATGATGGTGATGGTGGTGGTGGTGTGGTGGTGGTGGTGGTGGTGATGAGGAGGAGGAGGAGGAGGAGGAGGAGGAGGAGGAGGAGGAGGATTGTCCCCAGTCCGGGATGCCCCCCAGAGTTCCCAAGAAGGCCCCGAAAGTTCCTGGGGAGGCCCCCGCGGCGGCAGTCGTGCCTTCTTGGACCTGGGTCTCCATGCGTCGTCGCCGCTGCCATCGTCGCAGCGCCGTTGTGGTCATCGTGTCGTCGTCACCGTGGTTGTGGTGGTGGTCCTCGTCGGTCGTCGTTCGTGGTCGTGGTCGTTCGGTCGGTCGGTCGGTTGGTCGATAGGTCGTCCGTCTTCGCCGTCGTGGTCGTGGTCGTTCGGTCGGTCGGTCGGTCGGTAGGTCGTCCGTCCTCGCCGTCGTGGTCGTGGTCGTGGGTGTGGTCGCGGTCGTAGTCGTGGTCGTGGTCGTGGCCGTGGCCGTGGTCGTCGTCGTCGTCGTCGTCGTCGTCGTCGTCGCCTTCCGTCCGTGCGTCCTCGTTGTCGTCTTCCTTCTCGGTTCGTCCGGCACGCCTCTGCGTCCCTGCTTTCGTCCTGAGCTTGCCACACCCTGCACGGAACTCCCTCGCGACCTCCGCGCAGCAGGCTCTCCACGCCCTCGTCTGCCGCGGCCTGGAAGCACGGTGCACACGACTTTAACGGCAGGTCCGCGCCGAGCCGGCGCGGCGGCGGCCCCGCCGCGGGCGCTCGAGGTGGAACGCCGCCGGTGCCCCAGGAGCGGCTGCATTGAATGACCTGATGATCTTGGCATCGCTCGGACGTGCGCATTTTTCCTTCGGCGGGGACCGTCGAGGAGCATCCTTGATCATTCGGCGAAAAAACCACGCACGAAACCGAAAAAAACACAGGGAGTGGACGTCCGAGCGATGGCCAGTGATCGAAAGACCACCGATCGTTCCAGGTCTTGGCTGCCCTGATGCGCCCGTGTTGAAGCGCAGCACGTGCTGTTCGGCGGCGAGCGAGGGGGGGAAGGGAGAAGGAGAAGGCCTTCTCAGAAGGCGGCGGGCGGGACTTGTCCGAAGCCCTCGCGCCTTCTGAGAAGTTTTTGGTGTCTTCGGGGAAGGCTTAGAAAACTTCTCAGGAGGCCAGGGGACTTCCGAGCCTTCTGAGAAGCCCCGCCCCTTCTCACATCCCCCCCTCGCTCGCCGCCAAGCTGTGCTCAAGGCGTCCGTGCCCATACGCTGCGTGTTGGCTCAATGCATCGCGTCATACCCAGGTTCCCAGCCCGCGTGTTGAGCTCCGTATCAACACGCCACGTGTTGCGTGTTGCGTGTTGCGTATCGGGGCCGCTATGTTCCAGGATGAGCGATCCGCGCGGTGTCAGATGCCAGCGCCGGGTGTCGCCACGACACGAGCCCGCCGTAGCCCTCCCATCACCGAGCACAAAAGAAACCCTACCCCAACAGCACGACGAAGCCGTGGCCTCGCCGAGGTCCCCGCCTGTGCATCAGGGATATAATTCTGGACAGCTTGGCTCGATGCCTCTGCAGAAGAGACCCCCCTATCCCTGATGTTCTTGACCCTCTCAATTGGGGCCCCCTCCCCAAAAACGGGCCTGCGGGCCCTCCTTTTTGCCTGCTCCTCCCAGGCCGGGCCAGGGCGCGAGCGCCTGGCTTGGGGGCGGGTCTGTGCTCGGCGGCCGCCGCCGCCTGACCTCGGCGGCGAGCGACGGGGGGGGGGTAAAACGACGCGAAGGGGACAAAATCGGATCGGGATAACTCGAAATCTCCGAGAATCGGCGGGTTTGGAGGATGTATTGGGCGCCGCGGCCGCTCCAGAGCGTTCCGGAACGCTCCGAGAGCGCTCCGGAACGCTGTGGAGCGATTTATCCCTCCTAGCCCTGTTTTAGGGGGGAAGCGAGAAGCGAGCGGGCCTTCTCAGAAGGCAGCCCGGACTTCTCAGGAGCCCCCCGCGCCTTCTCACGAGTGCTTGGCGTCTTCGGGGAGGGCTCGGAAGACTTCTCGGGAGGCCGAGGGATTCCGAGCCTTCTTAGCAGGCCTTCTCTTTCTCATTTCCCCCCCCCTCACTCGCCGCCAATGACCGTCGCAACATGACTCGCCATGGTGGAAACGGGTCCTGAGGAAAACGGGTCCTGGGTTTTTTCTGATCGTTTTCGGGCTCTGGGGCCCTCCACGGGCCCTCGAACTGTCAGAAAACGGCTCAGTATGGAGACCTCGTCTTGGGGGAAGGCCCTGGGGTCCAGGACCCGTTTCCCACAGGACCCGCTTCCCCCATGCCAAGAACATGGGCTCGGTTGCGCGGACATCCGCGCGTAAGCTGCCCGCGTGAGGTCGCGCGTACGCGCCCCCGTTCCCGGTGCAGCGTGCCTCGCTGGCGGCCCGCGTGCGCCGCAGCGCAGAGTGGCCATGCCATCGAGCGCAAGACCCGTGTCTCGTCGTCGCTCTCCTTGCTTGGCGACTTTGCACGGCCCGCTTCCTGGACGCACCTGGGCGCGCCTGGCTTTGCAGCACTCCGCCAGAGCCTGGGCCGCAATCGCCTTCCTTTCCTCTTCCTCCGCGGCCGCTGCTCGCCTTCTCCTCGCCCCTCCGTGAGCGATTACGCTTTGCAGTAGCCCTGTTTTGACCGACCGACTCGTGCGATGTCCGAGCCTGCGACCCAAAGTGCTCCAGCCTCCTGGCGGCAGCCCCTCACACCTCATGGTCGTCGGCGGCCTCGGCGCCGCGCCCACCCTGGCTGCCTTCGGGAGGTCTTCGACCGAGTACACCCTGACCGTGAAGCGGCTGTCGAGCGGGGCGGACCAGACCCCGTGCGAGGTGAGCAGCCTGTGTCTTTTATCCTTTTGAGTTGCTCTTCGTGTCGTGGGTGGACGGAGGAGGAGGAGGAGGAGGAGGAGGAGGAGGAGGAGGAGGAGGAGGAGGAGAAGGAGGAGGAGGAGAAACAGGAGCAGGATTAGGAGGAGTTGAGGAGGAGGAGGGGAAAATGAGCAGGATTAGGAGGAGTTGAGGAGGAGGAGGAGGAGGAGGAGGAGGAGGAAGGAGGAGGAGGAGGAAGGAGGAGGAAGACGAGTCTGGGGAGGAGGGGGAGGAAGAGGAGGAGAGGAGGAGGAGGAGGAGAGGAGAGGAGGAGGAGGAGGAGGAGGAGGAGGAGGAGACGACGTCTGGGGAGGAGGGGGAAGAGGAGGAGGACGAGGAGGAGGAGGACGAGGAGGAGGACGAGGAGGAGGAGGAGGAGGAGGAGGAGGAGGAGGAGGGGGGGGAGGAGGAGGAGGAGGAGGAGGAGCAAGGTATGAGGAGAAGGATCAATCTTTTGAATCTGAGGAGGATGATGAGGATGCGGAAGAGGATGCGCTGGCAAAGGAGAGAGGCGCTGAGGAGAGGATCATGATGAATACGACAAGCAGGAGTCTGAGGAGGAGAAGGACGCGTAGTTCAGGATTGGGAGGAGGATGAGGAGAAGGAGAAGGATAATACTGATGCTGATGATGCTGATGATGCTGCTGATGATGATGATGATGCTGATGCTGATGCTGATGCTGATGCTGCTGCTGATGATGATGATGATGCTGATGCTGATGCTGATGATGATGATGATGATGATAGTGGTGGTGGTGGTGGTGATGATGATGATGATGATGATTATGATGATGCTGCTGCTGCTGATGATGCTGCTGCTGCTGATGATGATGATGATGTTGAAACTTATGTTGATGATGCTGCTGTTGATGCTCATAGTGTTGATGATGCTGCTGCTGCTGATGATGTTGTTGATGTTGATGATGCGGCTGTTGATGATGCTGCTGTTGATGATGATGCTGCTGCTGCTGATGATGTTGCCGACGTTGATGATGCGGCTGTTGATGATGATGATGATGATGATGATGATGATGATGGTGGTGGTGATGATGATGATGCTGATGCTGATGATGATGACGATGATGCTGATGATGATGCTGATGATGATGATGACGATGATGCTGCTGATGATGATGATGATGATGATGATGATGATGATGATGATGATGATGATGGTGATGCTGATTACGGTGATGATGACGATGGTGATGAGGGGAACCAGAGGGGGACCAGTGTAAACACAAGACGCACCAACGATGTTGCAATAACACTCCCTCGAAGTTGTCCCATGATATGGTCCAACCGCATTTTTTCTGCGGCAAATGCACCATTGGTAGACAAGCGTCTGAGAGCCCTCACTCGTGCACAAGACATTCTTCCTGGGACTTCAGCGCCGCAAATTCACGTGACTGCTGCGCCCTGACAGTTCTAAGCCGCAGCAGAACACCTTTCCTGGGACTCCAACGCCGCGAATCAACGTGACAGCTCGGACACGCCTAAATCTCGCCAGAACACCGTTCTGGGGTCTTCGACCATGGGGCCCCTCGAAACGGTCGCGGACTTTCACATCAAAACGGATGTGCGCGGCGCTGAGAGCCAGAGCAGCACTTTGAGAACCACCCGCCCTCCATCCTCGAAGCTGTGACATTTTTCAGGACGGGTGCGCGCGGCGCCAAAGCGAGAGCCACGCTACTAAAAAGGAGCCGCCCTCCATCCATAAAGCGGTGTGCCTTTTCACACGAATTTGGGCGGCGCTAGATGCAAATTTCAGCATCAAGATCGTACATGGTGCGGGTGTCTCAGGCGAAACGCCCAGCCCGCCCTACGAGCACGTCTGGGGATGCGACAAAGGGAGGAGTTATTCACCAGGGGAAGGGATGGAGGAGGAGGAGGAGAAGGATGAGGAGTAGGAGGAGGAGGAGGAGGAGAACCAGAAAACACTAAAGATGCATGAGCGATGCTGCAGTTCACGTCCCCAAGCCCTTCTTCATACGCGCTCGTAAGCGTTTTTTCAATACGAGGGGCGCCTCACTTGAGCGACCAGCCCAATCGGGCCTGTTTGGCGCGGGCCCCGCTTTCGAAGTGAACCGCCTTGCAGATTGCTGGGTCGTACCAAGAAGCGCGAGCGATCCTCATCCTACGGCTCGGCGAGGTGTCCAGCGATGCCCCCCTCTCGAAGAAGGACTGCTCCCCACCCGCGTAGCTGCTGCACGAGCTTGCGCTTGTGGTCACACGTCGCCGTATGCGGAAGCGCCTTTTGACGAAGACACGCCCTGGAGCATTGCAGCGCTGCGCACGCGGAAAAAAGGTCTCTGCGTGCAGAGTTCCCTGCGGCGTACCCGACCCATGTCCACGAAGTGGCAATAACATTGGGCCACATCATTGCGGAGGATGGCATGGCGAGGAGCCCGACGAGTTGTGAAAGTCAGGGGGGGGGATTCGCATGTTGAGCGACCCCCCAGACGGATGTGGGACCACGGGGGAGAAGTGCCGAAGAGAGGCAGGAACGTGGAAGCATCCTCGAACATGGCGTGCAGTGGCAGGCAGCGAAGGCGAGGCATCGTTCTGATTTGAATGATACGTTGCTCAACTGGACCCCCCAGCAGCCTTCGAGAGTGGTGGCAGTTTCACAGTTCGCAGCCCCCCAGGGATGGTGAGGTCTAGTTTGGGTCCCCGTAGGTCTTCGCTCCGCTGGCCTTCCTAGCAGCCGTCGAAAGTGGCGACAGTTTCGCAGCATGCAGGCCTTCCAGGCTTGTCTGGGCCCCGTGCGACGTCACTCCGCTGGACGACCCCCCCAGCGGCCCTCGACAGTGGTGGCGGTTTCGCAGCTCGCAGCCACTGGGGGTGGTGAGGTATAATCTGGGTGCCCGTAGGGCGTCGCTCCGCGGCCTCCCCGCAGCAGCCCTCGACAGCGGCAACTTTTTTGCAGTTCGCAGCCCCCCCCCCCAGGGATGGCGAGGTCTAGTTGTACTCCCTTGAAGGCGTCACTCCGCTGGACCTTCCAGCAGCCCTGGGAAGCGGCGACAGTTTCACGGTTCGCAGCTCCCAGGGGGGCGAGGTCTGGTAGTTCAAGTTCTTTTCAGGCGTCATTGCGCTGAGCCTCCCAGCAGTCACCGAAAGTGGCAGCAGTTCAACGGTGCGCAGCCCCCCGGGGAGGCGAGGCCTAGATGCCATCCTTTTGAGGCGTTCTTCTGTTGGACCTCTCCGGATAGCCCTCGAGGAAAGCGGCGACGGTTTCACAGTTCCCAGCACCCCAGGGGTGGCAAGGGTAGGATGCAGGCCAGCAAGCAAGCAGGAGGCAAGGAGGGGGGGGAGGCAAGCTAGGTGCGCTCGCGTCATATCTGACGTCCTACCCCTCCCTCCCATCCCTTACCATGGCGCTGATTTTCTCTATCCGCGGACGCGTGTCGTAGCGGACCTGTGGCTCCGCGCGCGCGTGCGTAGTGGGTGGTGGTGCGCGTGCGTGCGTGCGTGCGTGTGTGCGTGGTTGTGGTGGTGGTGGTGGTGGTGGTGGTGCGGTGCTGGTGCTGGCTGGTGCTGGTGCTGGTGCTGGTGCTGTGCTGTGCTGGTGTGGTGCTGGTGCTGTTGGTGGTGCTGGTGCTGGTGGTGCTGGTGGTTGGTGGTGGTGGTGGTGGTGGTGGTGGTGGTGGTGGTGGTGGTGGTGCGGCGCGGTGGTGGCGGGCGGATGGGCGCGCGAGAAAGAGGCCCGCGCTGGGGCGAGAACGCCATCCTGAACGACGGAGGCCAAACACCGATCCGAAAATGAGGCCCACGCTGCAGCGGGAGCACGATTCGGAACGATTCGGGAGCAGAAATGAGGCCGGCGCCTCAGCGAGAGCAGCACTTTTGAAAAAAACACAAGCGAAAACCCAACTCCGGGGAATCCTGTGTGTAAAAAAACAGTACGCGGGGGGGTGCCGAATATCTTCCGGACGCCATCAGGGGAAGTGGGAGAGTATTTTCATATTGTGTAATTGGAGAAGGGAGGCGAGCAGAGGCGACGGTGGCGGCCGCAGAACTTCATTTTGTGGCGAGAGCCCAACAGAGGAGGGTTTCGTAAGAACCGAGTCTCGAGCGAGATCCACATTTACAACACAGCTGTCTTCCACCCAATAGACGTTGCGGAGAAAACGCGGATGCGCGCGGCGCTGAGGCGAGAGCCCCCACGCAGGCGATGGCCACACCTTGAAAACGGCCCCCCTTCCATCCCTGAAGCTGCTGCACACTTTTTTTAGGTGCGCGGCGTGAAGGCGAGAGCCACAGTTAAAAAAACAGCCCCATGCGTCCCTGAACCTGCTGCAAGCTTGGAAGACGAACGCGCGCGGCGTCAAGGCGAGAGCCACGCCTTGAAACGGCACCGTCCTCCATCCGTAGAGCCGCTGCAAACTGTGGAGGCGAGCGTGCGCGGCGCTAAGGCGCGCGAGCCACGTTTTGCAAATCGCCACCCTCAGTCCCAGAAGCCGTGGCAGGCTCTCGAACGACCCCCTCCCCCTCCCCCTCTCCCTCCTCCTCCTCCTCCTCCTCCCCCTCCTCCTCCTCCTCCTCCTCCTCCTCCTCCTCCTCCTCCTCCTCCTCCTGCGAGGCGCCGGGGCGAGAGCCACACTTTGAAAACCGCCCGCGCATCCTTGAAGCTGTTGCGAATTTCAAGCTTCAGGAGCATGCGTGGCGAGGGAGTCTCGGGCGAAACGCCCTGCACGCCCCAGCAACACGCCTGGGGGCGCGACGAAGGGAGGAGGATGCGTGGTCTCGCGGCCCAGCCGCTCGGATGCCCGCCTGCCCGGCCAGCCCGACTCGGCCCTCCCCGCCGCGGCGAGGTGACCTACCAGCGCTCCGCCATAGAGGACCCCGCACCGGGGAGGGCCCGGACGGGGGAGGCCGATCGGTTGAAGAGTGACCCCTCGCCGGAGTGGCCTCTGGTGCGGGCCCACAGGGGCCCCCCCAGCATTGTCCTGCGCGCTCCGATCTGGCACTCCGCGGCCTCCCAGAGCCGCGCACCAAACCCAGACATGCCACGTCTGTCTGCATTTTTTCAGGACGGGGTCCCCGGAAGTCCCGACCCTTTCCCCAGGGCCAGTCTTTCAGCCCGAGCTGTGCTTTGATGGTCCCGGGCCTGGCGAGCGCCTCCGAAGGCATGGATCCTTCCGTCGTTTTTTGGTTTTTGGTTTTGATCCAAGGCGCGAGCATGTCTGGCCCACAGCCGCGCGCCAAAGGTCACTCTTGCCTGGGGTCGCTCCAAGGTGGATTTGATACACCCTCTGGCGCGTCATGGTAGCTCCCCCTCCCCCCCCCTTTGGATAACCGTAACGATCGAACGCAGAGGGGGTTCCTAGACCCCCACACCAAATGTAGGTGCTCGCGCGCATACTTTGGCGATCGCAGCGCACCCCCGCCCCGACGTGCCCCACCCCGCCCAAGCGCTGCCATTATCCGGGTCCCCAACCCCCCTCCGGGTAAGGACCTTAGCTGCCCTGATACGCCCGTTGCGAAACGCAACACGCACTGTCTGTGCTCAAAACGCCCGTGTCGACACGCTGCGTGTTGGCTCAACGTATTGGCCTACGTTATGGCGAATGTATCGCGCCAGACCTACGTTTTCAGTCTACGTCTTGAGCTCCGTATCCATACGCTACGTATTCCGTGTTGCGTAACGGGGCAGCTGAGCTGGGTCCCCCCCCCTCCAGGCAACGACCATTACCGGAAGTAATGATAGCAACAATCTCGTCGGGCCCATCTTTTCCGGTAGCGACCGCTACAGGAGATAATCAAAAGGCAATCCCGTGTGGCCGAGGGCCGACCGCCGACAGGTGCAGGCGGAGCCTTCCCGCACGTCCAGCGCCGCGGCCCAGGCCCCGGCGTGGGGGCGTCGGCTCCTGGCCTCAGGGCGCCCGAGACGGAGTCACAGCATGGGGAGCGCCGATGTCTCCACGTTTGGCCATGCCTCTTTTCGGGTGGCCCTGCTGCTCCGCAGACGGGGGTGTGGTTTGTCTATGCCCCGTTCAGCTACAGTCAACCCGCATGATAAGGACGGGCGCCCTTCCCAAGGGTACCCTTTTGCATCCTTCCCCCCTTCGGCCCATCCTTGGCCGCTCTCGCTGGCCGCGCCCCCCTCGAGAAGCTTCGAAATGGCCTTCCACGTCCCTCGCATGTTTGTCGTGCCCTGGAAAAGAATGGTGCAGCAGGGGATCTAAGCGAGATATTTTTGCGGCAAGTTCCGCCGACGGCTGCAGGTCGGCGAACCCCTCTACAAGCTGCTCAGGTGCGATCGAGCCGCCAAAAGGCTGCGGATGGTGCGGCGCTGCATGCACGTAAGTTTCGACTCTGGCACGCCTTAGCACGCCACTGGACACAGCATCTCTGAAGATATATTTTCGTGGCTCTGGTACTGCGCGCGCGTACTTTGTCGTGCGCTTTAATTATACGGGTTGACTGTACTTTGGGTCTTGTGATAAGCGTGGGGGGGATACCCCCCGACGGGGGTCAACCTCGCCTCGTCGTCGCGCCGCCACGGGGGTCGGAGCGCCTTCGGCGCGCGGTGGCTACTCGCGACGGGGGTTGATGTGGGGCTGTAGGCGGGGGTGACGCCCCCCCGACGCTTATTAAGAAACTCGGAGTACGCTTCGCGAGTCCCCACCAGCACATTCAGAAGCCCTGCCCATGAGAGCTGTCGGGAAAAGGGACGAAGAGACACACATATAGTGAAACAGAGTGTGCAAGGAGAGATCGGCGGGGGTGACGCCCCCGCCGACGCTTACTAAGAAACTCGGAGTATGCCCCGTGGAGCTGTGCCTCCGTCTAAGGGGGGCACTGGCGGCCATATCTCGGCCGGGAGGCGCGGCTGCGGCTGGGCTGGCTGGCGGAGCAGCAGGGGCGTGGGGGTGGGGGCGGAGCGGGGGGGCGCGGGGGCAGGAGGAGGAGCAGGACGAGGAGGAGGATGAGGAAGAAGAGGACGAGGACGATGACGATGATGATGATGATGATGATGATGATGATGATGATGATGATGATGATGATGATGATGATGATGATGATGATGATGATGATGATGATGCTGATGATGCTGATGATGATGATGATGATGATGACGAGGATGATGATGACGATGACGAGGATGATGATGGCGATGATGATGATGATGATGAGGAAAAGGATGAGGATGATGATGAGGATGAGGATGAGGATGATGGTGATGATGCTGATGCTGAGAGTGATGCTGGTGCTGCTGCTGATGATGGTGCTGATGATGATGCTGCTGCTGATGTTGATGATGATGATGATGATGATGATGATGCTGCTGATGCCGGCGATAATGACGATGGTGACTAACGATCATGATAACGAGGCTTTGTTGAATGTTCACACGTCTTGGGAATGCTTCTTATTAATCCTCCCTCACTGGTGCGACTGGGTTTTCTCAATCGAAGCGGGCTCCTTAACGCTCGCACTCAGTTTTTTGTCGAGGATGGCCTTGAGGCTCAACCTGTGCCCTTGGGCCCATTGCTCGTGCCCTGATCCGCCCAGTTTTCCTTTTGCCAAGGTGGGCACTCACGTCCTGTGCCCAGCGGAGGTCGCCGCTCTTGCGATGGCGATGGTTCTGACCGCGGCCTCCGCTTGCAGGCGGTGGCAGCGGTTGCTCTTGTCCGCGGTCCTCGCTTGTTCCTTCCCGGGAATGCACGCGACGGTGTCAGCGGTGGCGCGCTTGACGGCGGGCAGTATGCATGCGCCCGGTGGACGGCTTGTTGGGGAACTCGTTGTGATGACATCGGTTTCACGTCGGCCGAGATGTGCGTGCGTGCGTGGCGGTGGCGCCGCCGATCCTGCCGCGTGCGCAGCGTCCGACGGCTCTGGCGAGAGCGAGACAAGCCCTTGCCATTTTGGCCAGAAGGCAGAAGCCATTCCGAGTCATCCAACCTGCATCTATTCGAAGTCATTGATGCTTCAGTATATCGAGCCGATGTCCGGTTCGGTTTCCGATTTCCTTGTGTTGGCGTCGACCTCAGCTCGACCGTTCACCACCCTGTCGCGTTTCGATTCGCTAGCCGCTTCTTGTGGATGTGCGTGTTCCCCAAGCAGTGCTTGCCCGTAGGGTTTCTTACTCCTCTTCTAAGGAACTGGGCCCTGATGCGGTCCCGTCGGCCCCGTTCCCGTCCGTCGTCGCACCATGTGTCCATGTAGAAGGCACGTGTGCGGGCCTGGTGGCCCTGTTCTCGCCCGTCGCCGTCGCCTGGCCCGTTGCACTCCCCCCGTTGTGTTGCAATCGCATGGTGTTGCGTTGCAAGTGCATTGCATGCATTGCTTTGCAGTGCTTCACAATTGCATTGCATTGCAATTGCATTGCATTGCAATTGCAATTGCCTTGCCTTGCCTCGCCGTGCCTTGCCTTGCCTTGCGTTGCCTTGCGATGTATTGTGTTGCATTGCTCTACGTTGCTTTGCATTGCTTTGCATTGCTTTGCATTGTTTTGCATTGCTTTGCGCCACATGGATCGCTCCATCGAGACTGCACCGCATATATTGCAGGAGCTCGCTGTTTGGGGTCCATGCTGGCTTACACGTTTCATATGCCCGATTCGATTTCTCGATCCGACGCTCGGCTGCCCAGTAAGGTCTGTCTGAACAATCAAACCGATGGCTCTGGAGCGCTCTGTGCATTTAGCACGAGCGCATGCGCCGCCAAGCTCTGCCCAGCGGATGGGACTCCCGAGGAAACTCCCCGCGACGATGACCCCTGTCACTTGCAAGTATTGCCCTTTATTCAATCAAGCGAGGGTCGAACCAAGCGCCAGTTCGATGTATTGCGGAGCTGCTTGACGAGGTTTTTGGCTTGTTTGAGGCGAGACCTTCGGACAGGACTTATATTTTCAGAAGGGGAAAGAACACAGACACAACAGATCGTCGATTCCCAGAAACTATGGGAAAGTGTAGGGGGTGGGGGGGAAGACGAACATCCAGAAAATAGGGGAGAATCCTGCTATTTGTATGTATTTATGTTGTGTGTCCCAGGGCCCCTTCAGATTTGAGGGCCAGCGGTCTCGAACCCGGGGCCTTGGAGGACTCGGGCTCGACGGGGCATCACCCGCGACCGCGAGGTCCGCTGGGCCTCCCGACAGGCTCACGGAAGTGGCGACGCCCGCGCAGCTGGCACGGCGGGGGAGGCGAGGCCTACAGTCAACCCGCACAGTGAGGATGAGCAACCTTCCCAAGGTTACTTTATTAGTGAATTTAATTGGTTTTAGGGTTTTAACAAATGGTCGCAGCCACGCAGAGGGCGTGCGTAGCGACGCCCCACGTGCTCGGCCTCCCTTACTTCTACGTGGCGGCGCCCCCTCAGGCACGCAAAGGGCACGCGTGGCGACGGGGGCGTCGCCACGCAGAGCTTCTAAAGACCAAACATTTTGAAAACCAATTGTTTCCACTACTAAAGTACCTTTGCATTCTTCCCCTTCGGCCCATCCTTGGCCGCTCTCGCTGCCCGCGCCCCGCTCGCAGAGTGTCGGCATGGCCTTCCGAGGCCCTTGCGTCTTGCTCGAGCGTCCTGATCCCCTGGGCTGACTGTAGTTTGGGTCTGGGAGAGGCCGTTCTCTCCGCTGGAGCCCCCACGAGCTCGCGAAAACGTGGCAGCACTGGCGCGCCCGGCAGCACCTAGGAGGGCGAGGGGCGGGAAGCGGGGAAGCGAGGATGCAGCGACCTGGGAAGCGAGGAGGCAGCGAGGAGGAGCGGTCCCACGACCCCCTCGCGTGGTGAAAAAGCCACGACGGGAGGTTGTGCGCTATTTTCGGCCTCCAGGGGTTCTTCACCGCGCCTCGGGACTGTCAAAAACCAGCTCGAGACGAGAAACCGGTCCC